TATATATATATATATATATATATATATTCCATCTATCAAACCTTTCAAACCAGGTTGAAAGAATTAAACAGCAACTTAACCCTGCGACCATGGGTTCTTTAAACATGAGTGGAATTTTTGTCAGACACACACTGTACACAGCACACTAGCATTCAATTGCCAGAGGTGAACTGTATTCTATATGGCAAATCAGCAGTCAATGTGCTAAAGTTGCTTATATAAAATTGTGATTAAATTTAGATTGAAAGCACGGAATATGGTCGTAACTGGAGTTTACTTCAGAAGAGATTGTGTTATTTCACTGACAGCAAGTTAATTTATTATTTTTTTATCTTTTTTTTTTATATATTTATTTATTTATAAATACAGATATCCACTAAATTTCAGAAGTTGTAGGAAGAACTATTGAATATTTTAGGAACTCTGTTTTGTTTTTTGTACCACTTATTTAGTTAGCATTGTATTTTGTTGACTTGATATTGTATTTTGTATTTTGAATCGTGAATCACACTTTACATTCTTGCAATGCTTCATAACTACAGTAATTTTCCCAACACGTGTGTCTGTCCAGCCTGTTTTTTTACTGAAAATGGGACTTGCGAAACACGTGCATGCTGTGATGTCTCTAATGTTATAATATGGATATTGTTCATGAATTTTTCTTTTGCATTAGTTTGTGTTTAATCTTGTTAAACTTAACAGAAAAACACCTTATATTTTTCAGGATAATCAGCCATTTATTTCTAGTATTGATATATGTAATAACCTGCTTTTTAAACCTAACAAAAAAAATTGTTTTAATATTTTCAAGCAAAAGTTTATCATGTCGTAAGTGGTCTAAGTGAAGGCCTTATGATATAAAAACTAATAACTCTATTAAGATGCCCCATAAAATAATGATCACTTCTATTAGAATTAGAATTGCCACCATATTTTGACACCTAGTATATCACATTAGGATTGTTTGAATAGAAAATTTTATCTTACATCAAACTATAGTAATCAGTAAACTTTTCCTTAGAACTTTTTTAATTTTGAAAAATCAGTTGTGGTTATTCACATATTATCAAGAATGTTAAGTCACTTTTTTATCACGTCTTAATTAGAATTTAGTATATTTATTCATTTGATTTTTTTTTTTTTCACCATCATTAAAGTTTGGCGAGCAACTCCTCCTGTAAGACGGCCACCACCATCAGATGATGATAATGATTGGCGTAGACCTAAGGAGGACCGAGATATAAGAGGATCTCCATTTGATCAAAACAGGGATGTTAGAGGTCCACCTCCTGACCGTTACAGAGACATGAGAGGTCCACCTCCTGACCGTGACAAGGACATGAGAGGCCCACCCCCAGACCGTGACATGAGAGGTCCAGACCCTGACATGAGAGGCCCACCTTTAGATGGAGATCATGATTGGAGAGGTAGAGACATAAAAAGTCTTCCTAGTAGAGAATCATCCTGGAGAGGACCTCCACCAAGAGAGAGAGATACAAGAGGACCTCCACCAGAGAGAAGTCGTGACTGGCGGGACAGACCTTCAGATCGAGATAAAGGTTGGAGGGGGGATGACCGCCGGCCTCAACAGGATCGTGACGGTGGAAGCTGGCGAGAGAGAGGAACACCTAGCCGTACACAAAGAGATGCTGAAAGGGATTGGCGAAGTGATGATCGTGGCATAAGGGGTAGGGACAATGATGACTGGAGATCAGGACCTAGAAGGGGTGAGTTTAGTGAAAATAGTCACTGTAAAAGACTATAAAACTGTGATATTTTACATATTTATACTTGTAGTTGTTTTCTAGTTCAAAGGAAGTAACTAATTTGATTTTTGTTAGTTAGCTACATGTTTTGGTCAGAGCAGGGTACCTGCTTAGATATAAAGTAAAAATATACCCATAATGAGTATAGTTAATTAAATGTAGTTTTTCATATGTTAGCAATGCATTGTTCGATTATTTGGGTATCAAACAATAACTTTTAATATCAATAGCAAATTGAAGTATATAAACCACTGGCTTAGCTATGTCTCGAAGGGCCTTGGGGAAAATAGTTTTATTTTAAGTATGCTTTCATTTTAATATTACATCATGTTATATATATATATATATATATATATTATAAAATAACAAAATAGAGGGGCAAGATTTAATGGTGGACTTGTGTTTTAGGTCCATACCAGCATTTGTTTACTAAAATGTTGGAAATTTTTGGTACACATTGTTGAGATAGCATAAAAGTAATAGAAAAGTTCACTAAAGAACAACATACTTGAAGAAAATTTTGTAAACTTATTAAAAAAATTTCGTAGCTAAACCTTGCACACATTTTTATTTGAATTTACATTTTGGTGGGTAAGAATATATATATATACTAAAATGTGTACAAAATTTGAGGAAATTGATATTGTGAGTGGGTTTCTATGTTAAATAACTGTAAAGTGCTTGTAAATTAAATGTGACCAGCTCATGCATACTCCTGACCCACTACTCAGCTATGATGACATCTAGTGGTTTTGTTCTGAAAGCTTGAGTTCAAGTTATAAACTGTATAAATCTTCCTGTTTGAATATTATTGTTTATTTATTACAAAGGAATAGAATAAATAAAGAAAAAAGGATTGTTACTGGGATTTATGATTTGAGAGACTACACCAGTTTCAGTTAAATCATAAAAATGAAACAAGTCTGCATTTATATGTTCATTATCTATGGAATCAAAATCTCCATAATCTTTGGATGCTTTTTTTTCTCCCTTCAGTTTTACTTGTAGTATGAAAAGGTTGTCTCAAATATTTATCTAGATGAAAGCTTTTTCTTTTTTTTTTGATAAATCATCAAGACTGATACTTATGATTTTCATAAAACTGGACATTAAGGCATAGCAAGTAAGATGAAATGTTTTTAAAGTTTATAGTTACACAATGATCCCTAAATAAGCCAGTGTTAATAATTTTTTTTATTTGTTAACAGGACCACCAGAACGTAAAGAACGTTCAAAGGATGAACCTGATGAAGAGGGTTGGCGCACTGTGAGACGTTAAGTAGAATATTCTTCTGCTGAAATGTCTCCTTTTTTTTGTTCTTTATTCAAAACCTTCAGGAAACGAATTTTGAACTTTTTTATTTCATTGTTCCTGAATATTGCTAAATATCTGGGTTTATAAAAAAAAAATCCCCCCCCCCCCCCATTCATATATAAAGTTTAATTTGGTGTTAGGTAGATACATTTTATTTTATAATGAATGTAGACATTGTTGTGAACAACAAACTACTTTTTTCTATTCCACAGTAAATTCTGTTGTAAGTAGTCCATTTATGGAATATGATTAAAACTGTAACAGTTTGAAATTATTCTTTATGGGAAGCCAGATAAACCACTAGGTCAATAAGTATAAAAGATCTCCGTTGTAATTTCCAGACTGAATTTAACACTGGTTACTGATCATTTGTGGATACTCACCATTATTAGCAGACACAGCTTAATCTCTTCTTTTACTTGTTTGTTTGATATGATCTAATGCACCAAAAGTTATTTTGCCAGTATGTAAAATTTGTTATAGTACACAAACAGAAAGAATGTATCATAGTAATTATAAAAGTCTCCCGAGTTGTTTTGAAAAATTTGCATATTGTTAAGTTGGAGATATGTAAAAGAATAACTTCGTAAAGTAACTGCTGTTCAGTGCATTTTTTTATATTGCAATAAACTAATATATTGGAATTCAAAAAAAGATTTTCTTTCAAAATTCCATATTCTTAACATACAAGAAAAAGCTTTGTTCCATATATTCTATCCAAATTCTTTAATCGCAAAATTTTTGTTACATCTATTTCAACCAGATTCTTTGCATACAAATCGTTACACCTATTCAAACCAGTTCCATTATCAACTACTTGACTGACAGATTTTGACAGGTATCCATACTTAAGCTTTGCTTTAATTTGCAAAATACAGAAAACAGATTGTGGAATATATGTAGAAAAATGTTCTTTGCTTGTATTAGATTGAAAATAAACAGAATTTTCATCTTTATTCTGTTGCCATTAATTTAAGATTCACTTTCACAAATAATGTTTAAAAGAAAAATACTTATTATTAAGGATTTCTAATTGCTACTTTAAATGTTTGGATTTTAAGTTAAGTTTTCGGATTCTTACAATGAACTACAACTTACAATATTCAAGTTGGTTTGTAAAAATCTATAGAGAAATATTTTGTAATCAAACGCCATTGTTCAGTGTGGCATTCTAACATCCATCATTGTTGAAGAAAAATTTTATAGTTTTTAAATAAAGATGAGTTTGTCATTTAATGGTGAAACTAGTTTTCAAATTCTTGTAATTGTTATTATAAACTACCATGTTGTTCCTGAAAGTTTTAACATTTCATACTTTAATACACAAGTAAACATTTTAAAAAACATGACTTGTTGAATCAAGTGGCCACCTACCTATAAAACTCAATAGTTTACCCTTTGAAGAAAAAAAAAACAAACTTTGTTTAATAAAGGACAACAACTATTGTGTTAAAAAGATAACAACTATTGTGTTAAAAAGAGTGTATTAAAACTCGTTTTTAAGATTAAATTTGTTTTACTTCATGATGTAGTTCCCCAAAGTGAACAAGTTAGTATTCCTGCTGCATGTTAGAGTATGTGGACTCCATCACTTGTTTAATAGAAAATACCCCAATAATGTCACTTAGAAATATTATTAACAGCTTTAGCAGTTAACTAATCATGAAACTTTTTTAACTGCATAGTCACTATGGGCAAACCGTTAATTTCCAAAAACATTTATTGTTCCAATGATACATATGTAAATATGACAAACGTTTCTGAGTACAAAACATAAAATTATGTAATCTAGTTTTTAATAAAAATATTTTTACATGCTCCAGCTAAGTATGCCATATTAAAACAAATTTATGTTAATTGATAACTCGAATAAATTTGTCAAAACGCATGCACAGATTTACTATAATTATAAGGTAGATGTTTTATGAAGAAAATTAAAAAATTTAATAGAAATAAAAAATACATTAAAAATCATTAATGTTATGCCATACTTGGGCCTAAAACCTGACTTAGGCATTTACATTTGCAAAATGTTAGTATTACAAAATATATTTTTCTAAAATTGTGATTATGAACATAACATTATGCACTACAATCACCAATATAAATTGGTATTAACCACACCAAAAAATTGTACAAATTTACTATTTTGAATAGTAACTCATAATAACAATATTTATATTGCAAATAACATTTCAAAATATATATAATTATATTTGTGATCTAATTCCATTAGATTATTTTAAAAGGTGCAAATAGTACAATTTCAACATTTTTTATCAAAATAAACTTAAAGGAGTGGTTGATTACTCATTCCAGGATTTGGACTTGGCACGAAAGTGACAAAGATCATACTTGTGGTCCTTGTGTTTCATTGGCTTATACTGCTGAGGTTCGCAGAACTCCTACACAACGGGGAAAAGAAAAGTCACAGGTACTTTTCAGTACAAATGTCTACCAGTCAGAACTAAGTAAAGTGGGTTGGTCAAAATTCCAAATTTGTTTCTTGTGATTAAACAGCCAACTTTAATAACTAACAACTACACATGACTATTTCTATGCTGTGGTAGTTCTAAGTGCTAATGAATCCTTTTTTCTTTAGGCTAAACAATTCGATGTTTACACAAATATTTATTCTGAGCTACCTTCAAATTTTTAACCAATGTCCAAGAAAAATTTTATTTCTGTTCAGTACATATTGTTCTGTTTAGACATATCATAATTTTCATCCAAATATTTATCTAAAAACTATCTGAACTTGAATGAAATACTATATTACAAATCATGCAAAATTAATAAACACCATTAAGAGATCTTGCTCTACAAGTTACTAGACTTATGAAATTGAAACACTTACCCAATATTTCTCATAGAAAGCTTTATAACCTCCATTAAGAACATAGATTTCTGGATGAAATAAGTGAGGGTAATGTTCTTTATTGGCTTGTCTGTCCATTTCTCTGAGGAACTTGCACCTAAACCAATCAGAATATTTAAGGGTTAAACATTAAAAACAACAGAAGTAAGTAAGATGAAGCTATTCACAAAATTTGTTTGCAAAGAAAAACACACACACCACGATGTCGTACATGCAGGAAAGGAGATTTAAGAGTTTGATTTTAAATACTGAAGTACCTAGAACATTTAAAGAGTTGTATGGAAAGCAAGTTCATGTAGTTGAGGAAACAAATCACTTGCATGATTGTTCATTAGATTCTGTCGATCTGATATTCAGACAGTGGAAACAAGTGCTTTCAAAATAGGGTCTATCTTTCTCTTCATTTTTTAAGAGGAGACTTTGAAGCTTAGTGTAGACCCTCATGACACAGGAAACACTATCGTACAGGATGTTATGTTTACAATTGTATTTGTCACAAGACATTAGTATTAAGCCTTTTACACTTTTAAAAACCACTTCCTTAATCTAGTCCATTAGGGATTTTCAAGAATGAGAAAAGTGTATAATAGTAGTATTCTAACCACATTATATTTGTTATATCCACTGCTAATGACACATTTTGCTCAATCCAGAGCCCTTCAGGGTTGCTGGGATGTAACTGATTTAGTGTAGATGGAATACTACTATTATACACTTCTAAATCTTGAAAACACCTAATGGGTTAAATTAAGAATGTAGTGTTTAAAGATGCGATAAGATTGGTAATCATTCTTTGTATGTTGGTATGCAAGAGTAAGGTATAATAATGGAAACATATATTAGACAGGTAAAAAATGATGTAGTTTCAATTGATAACAGTCTTATTGAGATTTAATATCACACAAACATCACCACCAAATGGAAACACTTTCTTACAAATTGTTATAGTTTATTTCTTAAAATATATTTATGGCTTAACTTTAAACATTTGAATAATGAAAACTGACTTGCAGGATAAATATTACTACAAGAGAAAATTACACATTTTGACATTATGATTAGACATTAATATGGAGCAAAAAAAATGCCTCTTTTTTTTCCAAAAATAAAATTTTTAGTTTCATACTAAACTTATAGGTGCTTGCAAAGCAGATCCATTTTCTGAGATAAAATCAAAAGGCAATACTGACTAATGAACAAATGTGAAAAACACAAACTGTGGATATTGTACTGCAAACTTACAGTGTAGGACCTCTTTCAGAAGAAAATTCACAGTGGAAAACAATTATATGTTTCCAGTTCTTTTCTGATGGCTTTCTTTCATTTTTGAAAAACTCCTGAACAATTCCAGGTTTGGTGTATATATTCTTAGCACCCTTTATAAAGACAAAAGCCATTAGCTACAACAGCTTCTAAAAAATGAAATTAAACAAGCATCTGTGAACATTTCTGAAACCAAATAACAACTGACTAACACATATATGTAAGATATATTTATATAGAAAAACTAAAAAAAAAAAAAAAAAACATTATTTGACAATTATTTTAACTGAATATACACTGTTAGAAACAGCACAGCTTTAATCAAGTGTGCATATTTGAGAAGGAAAGTTGTATATAATCCTGGATTTACCGTGTGTATCTATACAAGATGTAGCAAGCTGTTAATGAACAGTATATGTCTGTTGGACCCAAAAAAATCAAATGTTTTAATAAAGTATTTGTACTAAAGATACATCTTTGAATTGATGAAGTCAGTTTGACAAGTTGGAGTGCAAGGTGATATTCACATGATGAAAGAAAATATTTTTTTAATTGTACAGTTTGTATATTGCATTTGCATTACCTCCTACAAGTAAATCTAAAGTTTTTTCAATATCCCTGTAAACTGTATCTGGTATTTCCTTTAACACGATGTGTCATTAAACTAGCAATGTATGGTAATATGAAATGTTGAGAACCCGACATCAAACTCTGTACTAGGTCATGGCATGCACTTTGACACCCACCCATGCACATAGGGTTTAGGGGAAAGTGAAGATAATCAGTCACATGCACTTTTATGTTTAAATCAAAATGAACCATCCTGTAACTTTCTGTGTAAATTAAAAGTTGTGTATTCACAGATAAAACTATAATCATCATATCAATTAACAGGTTGCAATAATGAATATTCAAAGGAAAGACTCAAAACATTTGTGTGCAACTAAGAAATGCAATTTTTATGTTCTTTCTTGTAATTTGGCCAGCTTCTCAGTAATGGTAGTAATTTTATTAGCTGTTGAAACTAGGTAAAGAACAAATGCTAATTAAAATCAAATGATCAACGTTTTTAAGTATATAATTTAAAAACTTTATTCTGAGACTGCCAATGATCTCAAAACAACACCTTAAATGTTTTGTTGTTAATCACATCATCCTCAGGAGTGTGAAATTAAATCTCAGTTACAAAGCATTTACATCAAAACAATTAACCACGTGACTCATACTGGTATGTAACATACATACAGCAGAACCTAAAGGTCATACCATCTGTACAACTTCTTCACCTGCCAACCCTTCATCTTTAATCAAGATTTGAAAATTATTTTTATTGTATTTAATTACTTCTATAGACTCTCCTATACTTCTAGCCATCATATTATTTAGTTAGGGCAAAATAACAATTTTTCACACTGAATCATATGACCAGCATTAATTGCATGTTCAGCCAATGCATTTCTCACTTTACTATTTTTAAATTTTCTCTTATGTTCACTTATATTAAATTTCTTTTAGTTTGACCAATATATGCACAAATGCATTCACATTCAGTTTTGTAAATAGCCATTTTTTTTCCCCATTACACTTATTATATCTTTAGTTTTATTTAATATTTCAAAGATTTTATTCAGAGGTTCATGAATAGGAAAAATATTTTGGATTAGTTTTTAAATTTCTAAAAGATTTGACATAATAAACCTATAACATATGACAAAAATAACATTTACATTTTATTTATTTTATTAACCTTTATTTTTTTATCAATATTTGTAATATTACTAAGTTTTTAATGGCTTTACCAACAACACTGGATGAAAACTCTAGTTAGTGCTATATATTTAAATAAAAGTAATTCATTTTTTAAATCTTAATGAGAACATAATTATGAACAAAAGAATAAGAATTGCAATTAACTGATTTCTGACTTATTTTAATCTTTTTAAACTAATACATCAAGAATTGATAAACAATTATTTTTTTCAATTTTTAACCTTACAGAACAAATGTATTCACAAAGATGAGAAAGAATTCTGATTACAACACATTTTCAGTCAGACCAAAGTCCTAGTGCAGTATCTCAGAATTATAGACTACCAGCATGAGTGATCATTTTCATGATATATTGGGGAGATTAACTCTCAGTCTGTCAAACCTGTACTACCCCTTCATTTGAGTATGGCCATCACTCCAGTGTAGAGTGTACAGAAGCCTAGTCAGATGAATACACATTATCAAAAATAACCACAATAGTATGTAACCTTGTCAGGAGGCAGTGATTCAAGAAAGTTCATGACTATCAATTGTTTACAAAAACATTAACTAAATGCTTATTACTTACATGCAAGTTTGTAAATAGACTTGTTGAATATATATATCTATCAAATTTATAAGTTACAGAAGGGCTAAACCTAGCAGTTTACAACTGTCGCATAGCATCAGTTGACTAGCTGTATGGATTAAAGTCAAATAGACATTAGTTAGTCTTGTGTTTAATTAAATTCAAATATCCTTCATCTATAAAGCAAGATCAAACAGCTGAATGTCTCTGTAGATTAAAGTCAAACATCCATCAGCCGACAATCTATGTAAACCAATGTGAAACATCCATCAGCTGACAATCTATGTAAATCAATGTCAAACATCCGTAAGCTAACAATCTATGTAAATCAGTGTCAAACATCCATCAGCTGACAATCTACATAAATCAATGTCAAACATCCGTCAGCTAAAAATCTATGTAAATCAATGTAATCCATCCGTAAGCTAACAATATATGTAAATTACATGAAACATGTATCAGCTAACAATATATATAAATCAATGTCCATCAGTAAACAATCTATGTTAATCAATGTAATCCATCCCTCAGCTAACAATATATGTAAATATGTTCAAGCCATTACATAGTTTTCAATTACACTTCATACAAAATGGTTGATACTGGAAGCAAAAGTAGAAATTAAAATATTTGATGCAAGCAAAATCTCAGTTATGGTTGCAAAAAGGTCTATGACCACATCTTTAAATGAGACAAGTTCAGCCAGCTGTTCGACTGAACAGAGAGAAGTTGTGTACTTTTTAACAGAGGCAAAGCAAAGTATGGAAAATCAAATGCTTGAGACATTTTCACTCCTGATGATGTAGTTAATAAATCAAATTTTAATACAAGTATTACTTTCAAATGAAAATAATTAAATAAATTATAAATTATCAATTCTGTGTATCAAATGACAATTGTTTGCTCTGAATTGCACATATAAACATTCTTTCCACCCCTATTCAAATTTTTGAGTTCAAATACAAACCTATAGTATAAATATTGCTGAGACATAATCGAACTTTATAACCTCCAATCATCTTGATTACAGAGATATAAGAAAGAAAGTCAAATCCACATGCCTACACCCTACTTTCAAGAAGTGTCAATAGTTCTCTCTGACATTTGCTAGTGCATTATTTATAACGAATAGAAAGAGAAGATTTTAACCTACTGATTTCCATATAATGCTAGCTCATTCAGATGACAGTTTGTTTTAATTATTTTGCCCACAATTTCATCTGGCTATTGCCAAGATCAACAGGTATGAAAATTATTTTCACACACACTTATAGCTTAGTTAGAAAGCCAGTTAAATTAAAATAGTTATAGAAAATTGTATTAGTTGAATGTGTTATTATCTACGTTGTATATTGGAAATAAATAAAAGTTAAGTACTAACAAAAACCCTACCACAAACTGGGATTAGCTTTTTTTCAGACTCCAAGTACAAAATCCACATGTAAATACTAATTTTTTTTATCTATTGTTATAACAGTAACTGAAATGTAAACAAATACATGAAAAAAATTTTACAGAGAGATGTACCTACTTTACATAATTTGATATTCATATGTTTAGCTATGTGCTCTCTAAATGTTTATAGCTTTGTAATGTAGGTTTAGTTAGACACAGTTCAAAGAGCAGTAAAACATTAAAATAAAATTAAAACATATGTACCAAGCCTGAGGCTATTTAGATAAATAAGAGTAATTTTCTGTTACAACCTGTAGGCATTCTAGCAAGAAAAAAATGTGATTTAGATTCTCTTGTTGTTTTTTTGTGGTGGTTACAAGATCAGTCAACTGGACTGAGCCTGTATAGTGTTTAGAGAAAATAATACAAATATAAAGTTTTACTGAAAAGCTTTTGATATTCATTTAGGAGTTTCTAGAGGTTATGCAAATAAAATTTTAAAACTGTAGTATAAGGACAAAATATTTTTAATATGAAAATCACCTTGCACTCAGACTAGTCAAAGTCTGAGTCAGGTTGACTTACATAAATTCAGACAAATTTTTAATAGAAATACTTTAGTAAAAGATCTGATTTTTTTTGTATGTAACATACTTGTAATGTTTACTAAAATCTTACAAAATGTTGTGAAGATACAGAATGAATCAACTCCATGCACATAGGATTAAAACTGTTACTTTAAAAACAGTATGAAAATGCAATGATCTCACCTTTTAAAAGAACTTAAGGTGAATTACTGTACCTTATTTGTTATTTATTTTTAAAAATACATACACATAATTAATACTTGATACTGTTGGTACTCTGTGAATTTCCATAATTACAGATTTAAGGAAAATGAAAACAATTGTATGTTTCACAAATATTTCATTTATATCAACTAGGTTTTATCAGGAAAGGCATAATCAGGTACTGGTAAAACCATGGCTGTGAAGTTTACAATTAAGCAAGGAAAGCTTTAAAATAACATATATATTAGTATATTTTGTTAATTATACGAATTTTCAAGTGATCAATAAGACTTACGATCATTTTATGCACCTCTGTTGTAACAAACAGATAATAGTTTTACATCTTTTTTTAATGTTGATTAATTAATTAAAGTTATAATTGATGATAAAGAAGAATTAGAAGTGCAAATTAAGTTACACAACTTACATGTATGGTATTTCAAAGACTGTATGTTCAAAGATAAGAAAAAACAAAATAACAACATTATATCAAACAACCTGCTCTGAGGTAGCTATACTTAATTAAGGTTTAATTTTTTTCTATATATTACCTGTGGCACTGATCAATTGATATTAAGATTACTTAACTTTACAAGTTTCAAAATTGTCACACACTTACAATAATGTGGCCTCCTTCAAATTCATATGGATATCGACAATCAACAATGGTATACTTATTGATCACATTATCATAGTGACCAGTAATCAGCTGTGCCATCTAAAAGTACATAAAATAAACTGAAACTAACAAGTATATTACTAGATATTATTCATTAAACAATGGAGAAAAATGACATAACCCCAGACACAAATTACATTAACAAATATTTACTGCTCAAACTATGAAATATATATATCCAGTATTTCAGTGTTCTGCAACATAATGTTATTTCAACTAATCACTAACCATTTTTAAGTCATATTTCATCATCTGGCAAAAACATGCTTCTTATCTTAGTGTTGCATTTGATATAAAACTTTTAATATTGATAAAATATGTTTAAATTACTTATTATATATTAATTATGGTACACTTTGAAAAAGTTAAAAACTGCAGTTTCATTCACAATAACTTAATGCCTGAAAATATGTAGACATATATTACGAGTTAAACAAAATAATCTAAATATCAATTCACAGGACAAAACACCAACTTACTGTATCTGGAGAAATGTTCTTTAATTCTCTGCATTTTCCTTCAACCAGAGGTAATGCAAAAGGCTGAAGAATATTTAAAATAACCATATTAAAAGAGACATTACAATATATTTCTCAATAAGAACCTTTTCTTCTGTTGGTTGAAAGCTGAATCTAGTAAGCAAGTTTTACTTATATGAAAAGAAAAAATTAAGACAAACCTTTCCACTTCTGAAACAATCTGTGAAGTGTGCTTTTAAATTTTTTGAATTATTACTGTTCTCTCTCTTTTAACAAGCTTAAAAGTTATTATTTAAGAACAAGCAACATGTTGCAAAGAACATATAGAGTGAAATATATATTCCACTGATTTATAATTTTACAATTAATTCTAGATATGCATGTATGTATGACAACATACCTTTGAAAAATCACCAATGAGGTTAGGGTTCAAATCAGCTGTAATCAGAATTGAAAGTTCTTAGTTTCAAATATGTATAATAGAAAACTATAAGAAAATTAACAATGGTTATACTGGCCTTAAAGCTTTCAAAACTTACAAAGAATACAAGAAAATAAAGTGGTTAAACAAAGATATATATATATTTAGGAATTATTATATTGAAGTATTAATTTAGTTTTTTAGAATTCTCATTCAAAATGCTTTGAAATCAACAAAGGACTTCATTGACACATAAGAAATATTTTTTTTTTCCTATTAAAAAAAAAGTCAAAGTAATTAGTATTATCAGGCAGGAAGAAAATACAGAAAGAAAATCCTGGTATGCTTCAAAAGCACCTGATAATATTATTAGACAACACTGAATTTAACTCCAAACATCTATCAACTTACACTTTTGTAGTGCTTTAATGATTGATGCCTCCGTTTCAGAACTTGATCTTTGTACAGGCTTTTTACCAAGTCCACTCTGAATTATCTGAATTGTATTAGATAGCAGTTAAAACAAAAAATCTAAATATTTCCCAAAAATAAACAATAGTTATACTCTAAAATACAAACATTAAAATTGGTCTTGGAAAAAATCAAACTAATATCATGAATATTAATTTAGTTTGTGAACTAAGATATATAATCCATTAGGTTAAAATAATAAGCTTATTTCAACATATTGTATTCCAAGGCACCAAACATTAAACAAAAAAATGCACATTTCAAATTGTGATCATAATCAGACTTCATACAGAGTACTAGATCGAGAACAGGTTGTGTGTTTATTGACAGTTTTGCAAAAACATTCCCAAACAGCCTGAAACTGCTCTCATAGTTAAGCAAGTTTTTGCCGTCAATATTTTTAACCTTAAAGATTACATATCAACAAAGAATTATAAGAACTCCTGAACTAAAGTAAAGAAGTGTGTGCATAATAAAAATATCAAACACACTATATCTGCCATATCCAGTGCTAATGAGGTTCTTTTGGTCAATACCAGTGCTCTTCAGGCCAACTGTGAGATACAAGAAATATAGTAGTGATTGAGATGCTATTTATATTAGAAAATTGATTGAGAGCAATTGTTACAGCGTAAACTGAATTAAGCTGGTGAAATACGACTTTTATCAATTTTATTTATGACGGTGCATATCAGAATTAGGGTAAGGATTTTTAACACTATCTTAAATCTTATTCACTATACTAGCATATAGCCCATCAAAAATGATGGGGTAAGTACTACCACCCCCACCCCATAGCATACCCTAACCTCACATTTCATAGCTAACCAAAATAAATAAATTTTTCAAAATCAAGCTTGACCAACAAACAGGCAGAAAAGTGCAGTCAAGGCTGTCACACATCAGTAAATTCCCTTGTGAGCCAATTAAAATTAAGATCATTCGTGAAATGAATTTGTGCCGTATTCAAAGAATTATTATTGGTAAAATATCAGTTAGATTAACAACTTCTAATATATTAAAGCCAGTGCATTTTGGTAACACTACGTTCCAACATTGACTTTTATGTCCTCTGCACTTGTGTTTCTACAACTGGCAGTTGCCATCCATTCAACAAAGTTTCATCAACACTCTGAGTTGTTCAATGTAATAGACATGATAAACAAAATTTGTCCAAAACAGAGTGCAGTAGGAAATTCGAGTTAGGTAAAAAAAAGCTATTACATCAAAGATAAAATTTTTAAAAATTTACCATAAAACACTTACACCCGAATCAGTGCAACAAGACAAACTCTTCCTTCTTTTGATCTGAATGGGACTCCCAACACTCTTGGGTGGCTCTGGTCTTTTGAAAGCAGACTGGAAATCTTTATGAAGATCTCTCTGACCTTGTATCTGTAACAGTGATATGTGTGGTAAAAAAGCATTATATGTCTCTATCTGTCTGTTGCGACTGCTACCATCACTTTTAAATCCCGACATAATGACTTGTGAAGGCAAACTTTGTTTGGAGTCAAACAAAGAGTTACAAAGGATAAACTGATTTGCACATTCCACTTTACTCCTTTGATTAGCTTTAGAAGAAAACAATGATGGAGCACTGGGAGATTTTGACAGAACATTATGCAAAGTATCATCCTAGAAGAAAGAAAAAAAAAATTGAAATTATTTGGATTGGTGAGAAAATGTTACTGTTCCATACAAGTAAACGTACTTAGCCTTAATGTACATAATATAATTATACTAGAAATTTCCACATAAAACTAATAACTTATTATTTATTAAAAATTTGTCCAATATGTCTGAAAATATAATGATGTAAGATAAGCATAAATAGATTTGAGGAAAGTGGAGCTCACATTTACTGGTCCAATAGACAAGTTATTATTTTAACACGTTTGCTGCCACATGATAAATTAAACATTCAAGAGGTGCCAAGGAGCAGTCAAAGTGTCTCAAACTCATATACCTAAAGAGAAATTTGGCTTTGAAACATAATTGTTTGTGACCCATGAGTGTGTCACGTGGTCCATAACTAAACGTCAGTTGTGACCCAATGGTGGGGCACATGGCAGCGAACGTGTTAATCTAAAGAAAAAAAAGAGCATAATAGCAGCATCTCTTTATTGTGCAAAAACTTTTAAAGCAATTTTGCAGACAAAAAAGCACCATACACATAAGATGAGCAAATAGAACAAAGATATAAACTAATAAGTGAGAAAGATAAAAAGTACCTTATTAAGAGGAGTATCTGAAGAAGTTAGAAGTGAGAGAGAAAATATTTATCATATTTAACCTCTATGTGGAAGCATCACATGAAAAAAAAATTATGAACATTAAGCCCAGATATATACATGCTTAACACCACAATGGCCTCATTTAAAACAACAATTCACCTATATAGTTCCTCTTAACAAAATAAAATAAATAAATAAAACATGCCACTGCTGCTACTACTGGGTGATAAGTAAAAGGTATCTCGCAGGCTTAACACTACTCTAAACCTGCCGTGATTAATGACATGACATCTCTGTTTCCTTCTGACACTGAGCAGTATCTAGAATTCACCCATGAACAATTCTTGGAACTTCTTGCCCTCCCCACAAAGTTAAACCATTTCCTCTTTAATGACATCATTTATGACCAAACAGATTGAATTCCACTGGGTCCAGTGATAGCCAGTAGTCTTCTATGCTACCATGAATGCAAGTGGCTAGAAAATTGCCCATGTGACTTTAAACCTATCCTTTACAAATGCTATATTGATGACAACTGATGATTATTTATTTTATTTTACTCATTTTTATGGTTTCTTTTCCACTATTATTATATAATCATAGAAACCATATTTCATCAAGAAAACAAACATACTTAAAAATTGAGAACTTGTAGCTTGAAATTCTTGCATTTTGTTTATTTCTCATAAAATGATCAAACCTTTTTTCTTCAAATAAAAATCAGAAAAATTGAGGAAAAAACAAAGACAATTGTACGTTAATAAATGAAAGTTTTGCGAAATATACAAATGTCTGTTTTTTTCCTCAATTCTATAATTATGGAGTTTCACCAAGTACAGACAGTTTTAAGTATCAATTATAAAAAAACAACATTATAAAAACTAAAACCCATATAGTTCTAATTTCATTCACAAAACTTAGTGATAGTTACCTACCTGTAACTACCCTTGGCAATTCAGCTTCCAATGATAGTAAACATCTAGGTACCTAACAAATACTACATACAGCCATCATTAAAACATGTCTGCCACCAGTAACCCAACTAACAGCATTACTAAACACTTAGACATAGTTATGTACAGTCACCACATATTTTCAACTGCCTTTGGAAACCTTTCTTATTGTCCTACAGTACCTCATCTACAGACATGTGTGACTTCATGGGAAGGAACCTCCTGAAGATTGATCGGGATGATTGCTTTTTTCCTTTCTGTTGAATTTCCACATTACCAGGTTGGATGATAGGAGCTGTCAGAAGTTCCAACATTCCACATGGCACATTCTCATCCTGCATACAAACATCATGAGTTCAAAGCTTGAAAAGACATTGCTGCTTTTACATAAGACCAATCAGATTCTTTTGCAGGATAGAATCAACTAAGAAACTAAATATAAAACTAATTTACTAGCATAAAGTATACATCAAGTTTACTAAGTGGCTGTTGTTTAAAAGAATGTTTAAGCTGAGGAATGCAATTCATTTAAAATGTTTTAATGATACCACAGACCTGTTTTATAATTGTTTAAATACTGATGCAAATCTTCACCACATCTTGATAATTGCAGGCTGACACTTCATCTTTGAACAAACATTTAAACAAGTGGATGAAGACTAATGAAGCCTCTCAGGTGTACTGAGTAGTTATAGCCAAGTCATTCAATAATGAATCAGTGTTGTCATTTAGTCAATGGATATTTGTTATTAAAAAATAAAACACTTAAAAAAAACTCACCTACTGACAACAGTTCCATAGTTTGTTAACAAAAATTATTGTAGTTTTCTTTTGATATTCTACGAGTTTTTGGGAAAACAACATAGGATTCAAAGTTGTCTATGTATTCCAGGGGGGCTCTACATTCTTTAACCCTTTCCAGACAGGTCACGGGTCAAAGGCCATGTCATCATGTTTGTTGACTTAAATTAATGAAATAGCAGTTTAATAAAATTTTGAATGCATGTCCATAAGTTTGATATCAAACTGTAGATTATACATTACTCAATTTCTTAATTTAAAAGTAAATATTAAAAAACACAGTTAGAAATCAATTTTTGTTTGTCACTTGGTGTGTTGAATGTAGCACTGGTTCAAATTAGATGTTTGTGATGTCAAAATACTAAGTCTATACTTTTGTATGAATTAGGAACTCAAATTACTGATATTGAAAAGCTAGAATATAAAATAACCTCTTATTTTTCCTATTTGCTAAGATATTGCTCATGTGATAAATCAAACATAGTGGCACCCCGCCCACCTTTTTTTCCATTTTTGGAAACACTCCCTTATGTACACTCACTTCTATATATGACATGAAAGACCAATCAAAAGCTCAGAATGTCCCCCTAGTGGCTTTCTCAGCCATTTTCATGTGTTAGGATATCATCTCTTTCTTTCAAATCAAGATTTCAAGGAGGCAGGTTGTGTCTTTAGTCTGCTAGAAATTTCACATTTTTTTTAGACTGAAGTACAACTTAGTTACTGAGCTTGATAAATTATAGTGGAATTCTATGGTACTGACATAGTAATTTATGATATTTTAGTTATTTAACTGTATATAAAAAAACCTAAAAAAATATGTTGTTTCATATCCTCCACATGTGAAATTTTAAAAGGCTCAGCAACCTACATCAAGCAGCAACAGAGTACAAAGGTCATAACTGGAAGAGATAATTGTTTGCTTCAC